TCCTGTGGATAGCAGTTGGGGTGTTTGCCAGGTTTCTAGACAAATTTAAATATGTGTTTAAAGAAATCCCTAGTCTAATGGAGGAAGTAGACCCATAAACACATATAGAAAGGAGAGCCTAATAAGCACTCAGTTGTACCAGTTTTCAGCTTGGCAAATGCCTTAATCCTAGAGCTGAAGAGGGGAGCTTTACTGTCATCACCTTCCCCAAGGACTGATAAATTGGATGCAGACAGCTAGATCCTAGGGCTGCCAAATAAATCCTTAGGACTGAAATATAACTGTGCAATTTGTAGAACTGTGTGAACACACTCATGCCCTAAATGCACTATACTATTTCTCTGAAAACTGTTCAGAGGTGAGAGAAAATATTATAATGGTAATGATAATAATAATTACTACAATGAGCCTATCGTCCACCTGTTGTCTGTATTGAATTGGGCAGGGAGGACTCCTCTTTTCGTTATCACACACACTGCTGGCCAGAGTGCACATGTGTGTATCTAAGTGTGTGTGTGCGCATGCATCTTCATCTGTGACTTGTGCTTTGAAAGGTGAACTGGGAGTAAGAAGAGGAGAGAGAAACCAGAGGCTACCAGGCTAGACTCAACTTTTGGAGCTGAATTTGCTCTGGGGCAATTTATGGTTCTGAGAAAAGTCCCAGCGCTTCCCATATCTGTGCTGCCAAATGTGTGGCTGTGCTGACGGTGGCTGAGCGTCAATCTGGGCACCCTTAGAGGGGTGTTCAGACAAGATTTTTTTACCTCTTCGCAGCTCAGAGGGATGCTATTTTGTATTCCTCTCAAGCCAGAACAGACAAGTCAAACCTAACACCCATCATAGTGAATCTATCACACATTTTTCCTACAGATGCAATAGGTATTGATATCCTTTCTTTTGTCTAACTGATCATCAAATGAAAGCTCAGAAAAGTAAATTAATTTAGCTGAGGATGCACAATCAGACAAATAACGTGTATTATAATGGCTGTATTATTAGCTCTTTTAATTCTCGTGTCCCTTCTCTCTCTAGTATGATTTGGAATAAGTAAATTTCCATTTGCCCTTTTTTCCTAGAAATGAATGCCCTGTGTGTATTTTGGAAAATACCACAAATTTTCATATCCCCCCCCCCATATATTTGGTTAGAGTTTTATTTGAATCTGTTAGGCTGAAATAAGCTATAAATTATTTATCTGATTTTGTCACATAGGTGATCCAGGAATTCAGAATTGGGTTTCCTCCCAGTCTTTCTCGCTACAGGAAATTCAGCATGTCCATGACATATTTTTTCCTAACTTCGCAACTTTCTGCTTAGCATACGTGCTGGTTAAGGAAATATGCTCTTGAATATTTTTAAACCCTCTTGACTGAATGGGAAGGAGGGAAGACAAAGAGTTTTGTCATTAATTTAACTTGAAGATAAAGAATTTTTTCATGAATACTAATTTTCTCAAAATAAAATAAAATAATAAAACTTCATTGAGTGTGGGTACTGTGCCGCAGTCTTCAATTTAATACTTTAAAAACAAAGAAACACCCTCTGTAAGACCAGGCAGCACACAGTGGTGGCCTCTAAGCTCACAGCTCACAACTTGGATAACATGAATTTTTGTGCTCAAGAATTTTTTGTAATGACCCTATCCCACAACCCCCCGAGCCTGTCTTGTCATATTTTATACTTGAGGATGGAAAGGCTAGAATACTTGCCGAAGGTGACTAATAGTGTATTGGTGGCAGGGCCACAACTCGAGTAGAGGCATCAACCGTGCACACTCACTCACTTCTCTTTCTATGCGTGAGTGATCCTTTAGTAGCTCCCCTCTAGGTGAAGGTCAATTCCACAGCAGGGAATACAAGACCCTCATGATCTGTCACCTGCCGACATGTCTAGTCTCATTCCCTGCTTTGTATGTTCCGTATCTTCTCCCTGGAATGTGCCTAACTGCCCTCAAAATTTGTCCGCCTTGCAAGCATTTATTCATTTTTTAAGCCCAATTGTCACCTGCATTGGGAAGCCCTCTCTACCACTACCCTCCTTCCACTCAGTTTTCTCTCTTGCCTGATACGTTCATAACTTATTGGCCCTGAGCTAAGCACAGTCATGCTCAGTGAACACAGCCGCCAATCTCCCTGCCCTGTGGAGCTTACAGTCTAATGGGGAAGGCAGACGTTAATGACAGTAAACACACAGAAAAATGCATAATTACAACTGAGGTGTACAGACTGTACCCACGCCTGAAGAACCCGGTGGAGAAGCAGATGAGCACACCACATTGTGACTTTTTAATCTGCGCATCAGTCTTCTGGGCGAGGCAGATCACTCCGTGACTCTACCCCCATCCCAGTGTCCCCAGCACCTTGGGGATCCTGCCCACGGCAGGGGCTCGGCAAGTGAGGAAGAGGCAGAGGCTGGCATGTGCCCCACCTGATACCTGCCTCCAGGATGTAGGTGCCTCTGAATCTGCTGGTGGCTGCTTGGCACTCAGGGTTCTGCTGAGTTAAGGACGTGAGGAAGGCAGCTTTGGGCAGGTGGGAAGGTTGGTGTTGGAGTGAGAAGGTGATGCCTTTTCAGATCCCTGATGCGCTCTTCTCTCACGACCCAGATGAGGGGCCCGGAGGCGGCTCATTGGGTAAAACACTGGCCAGGGACATGGACAACGGCCTGATCGGAGTTCTGTTTATGCCGCGCTCTGAATTCTTCATTCTTGGGATGAATTAATGTGGTGTATTACATTCTCTGTAGAAACCTCTTTGGGGAGACACGTGAATGCTTTTATAAGAAGTATTTTGGCTTCTGAAGAGTCAAAAGAAGTGATCAACTATCTCTAATAAATAAAAGTGCACCAATGAAAAGATCAACATACTGTTCATTAATAGGCTCAGTTAATGAGAAACGCTTGGCAAGACACTCATTTTGGGAATTTATTTTCAATTTTAGCAAGAAATTCTTGCTATTTGATGTCACAGGAGTCTTGTGAAGATGTTTATTCTTTTTTTAATTATGTACGTCAACTTCTCAAATTTAAATGTAGTTTGTAAACTCAAAGTATGGTCTAAATTACAAAGATAGCTTGCAGCTTTTAAATAAAATGAACTTGCTTCATTTTTTACATTTTTTTGTCATAGAAATATAACATCTGTTGCATCCACTTGAGTTGAATGCTTGTTATGTAAAAGAGCATTTTCTTTGCTCTTTTAATTCTAAAGAGTATGGTCCTTTTAAATAAAAATGAGATCATTACTTATGGAACCATGAATTACTTAAGGGAAACTGTCCAAATCATATGGAATTGCTCTCTGAAATTTTATCACTCTATATGTTATAGTCAGTAAAACAAAGACTAATAAAATCCAGGTGACAAATATTCCAAGATGTTTTAAAGTTTTTACATTGTATACTTAAAGTATTTGTAGCTTTTATTAGGGAGTTTTATTTATACTTGTGAAATTCTTTTTTAAAAAAATTCTTTTCTGATTATTAAAAGTAATAGAGTATTTTAAATGTTAGTGGGAAACAAAAATTGTAATATGGAAAATTCTGTTCAGTTTTCTTAATTTTTTTAAAAAAAGAAAAAATAATATCATTCAATACATCAAGATCTGTTTGAAATAGAACTCTCTTCAAATGCGTCAGTACCA